TGGGATGGGGAGGGCGGGTGGGGGCCCTTTAGTTCTCGGAATGCGTACGTAGTTTCATTCACTTTTGGATTTGATTAGCTGATTCCTTTACCTCATTACTTAGGACTCACTCTGTGACCTGTTCTAACACTGCGTCATCGTAAAGTGTTCCTGTTGCATTTAAACTGTGGAACGTTACCCCATACTTGGTCCTTGCTCTCGTCTTTCCAGGGCTGAGTTGCTTAAAAGGTGGATAACGCTATCCGCTGGATAAATAACTATCCACAGTGGATAACGCAATTAGTTTCCCTAAAATACATGAAGAATTATCAGGCCGCTGGATAGTGATTTATCCGGTGGATCGTCGCTATCCAACGTTTAAACACATGTATGAGCAAATGTATGGGCCAGAGGCGTTAAGATGTTCTTTCCAGCGAGTGTATACTAGGCGCCTCGTCATTTTTCTCCTCCATGATAATAATTCAATATACTTTACTCTTGCAATCCTAAAACACCCGTTCTGCGGCAAGATCCGTTATTTCGGCAGGCTAAGCAGTCTACTTTTGAGCAACTATTTAATTTAAAAACGTCTGACCTCTCATGGCACTGGCGCGCTCTTTATTTACTTTGTGCATGTGACTGTCCAACGACCTTCTTGTTTTCCCCTTAATCTCTCTCACGAACCACTTTTTTTGTGCTGGGACCATGGTGTCGCTGGCATGAGAACCGTTGAGTTACCCCCCTTTTCCCGTACCAATTATCACCCCTTCTCCTCCTCCCTCATACCCTTTCTCATATTCTTCATTTCCACGACCGGCACGGTAAAGTTTTCCCGCCGCTTTCATCCACAGTCGACTCCCGACAACTCAAACCTTCAGGGGACATCGAGATCAAAAGAGAATGGAACTACGTCCGCATCTCGAAAAGTAAGCCGCCCCTCCCCCCTCAAATTCCCCACATCTCTGCCGACCCTGTGTAAATCTTCTAACCAAATTAGTGAGTCGATAGTGGATACGAATTAGGTTTTTCCTTTCTTCACCGTTAAAATATTCATAATTTCTCACTTTTCTGCGCCATTTTTCAATAAAATAAAAAATGAAAACCTGTCTGAAAGGGTGTATCGTTAAAGTTTTTCTATTTATCCAAAAAAAAAAAAGGAAAAATTGAAAATTGCTCGCAACGCTTATCATATTTTCATTTTTCTTGTTAAAATGAAATTATGGAAAATTAGGCGATAGGTATGCTATTTTTCTATTTTTTCATTTTTTGAACAAAATGGAAAAAATAAAAAAATGGTAGGAATATTTTTTCATTTTTCCGTCTTTTTATTTTTTGCGAAAAACGGAAAAATAGAAAAATGAGTTAAGAATCGGAGATTATTTCATTTTTCTCATTTTCTAACAATAGCAAGAAAATAAAAAATAGCAAAATATCGCTTTTAGCCGTTTACAGTATTTTTTGAATTTTTGAAGCGGACTTCAAAATTAGGAAAATGAAAAAATGATCAATTTTCCTGACCATTTTCTTTTTTTCTATTTTTTCTGTACTTTAAAATATGTAAATATGATAACGATAAGTAATATTACCTTTTTCCGTTTTTGTTGGAAAAATAGAAAATTAGATTGGCCGAAGTGTGTTCGGACCCACGAGCTCAACCGCACATACCTGAGATTTGTCTGTCAACACTTTCGGTAAATCACACAATGAATGACTTTCGCGGCAATCACAACACTTCCCAAAACCACTCATAATATTTCCACACTTAACACGTGCGAAACATCGTCAAATTTATACTCCGTAAAACTCTCGCTTTCTCCACATAAATCGTCGCATGGAACTTCTCTCGACTCACTGACAGTCGATTTATTCACGATCCCGGATGTAAACTAGCGGTTGAAAAGGAGACATACAGCCCCCTTCCTTACAAGTTTTTACTACAAGTCTCTGGCCTGGTCAGAAATCAGCATCAATTTTGCTCTTGCCGAATAGTTTTGACTCCTAAAAGCTACTTTTTGAAGCCAGAGACTCGTCACCGCCCACATCAAAGCTCTCAATATGATGCCTTTCCGTCTCAAGCCGCAGATCAGTGTTTCACCCGTTCAGCCAAACTGAGACGAAATACGGTAACATATTGGACGACGGCAGACTTTGCTAATCGTGAGACTTGTTCCTTCATAAGGCTTAATCATGCCTTCCGGAAAATTTTGCTGCAGGCGGCCAAAAGGAAACCTAGAAAATTAACCGACCACGGAAAACAACTTCTACCGCGCGCGCTAATTTCAAATGCCATATTGTTTTATGACAAGGAGAGAATTATGGTAAATGATAGGTAGGGGAGAGCTGTGGGGGGTCAAGTACTGAACAAGCCTCAAATGAGACTGTTGCTAAAAATTTCTGGAGGTAGCTTTTATCAAATCCAGACAGATATATAAACACTGATTTAGGAACCTAATAGTCATTATAAGTGCGGTTACCACAAAATAGAAGTGCACCCAAGCTAAGGGCCTTTTCTTATTCCTCCCTTTCAATAAATCAATCCATTTTCCCCCTGCAGGTGGGGCTGCGAAAACATTATGACCACACTTTTCTTTGTTTTTTCAACAACAGCTCAATACGCAACGACAGTGTGCAACTATTTTATCATTTATACTCTTCATGAAATCTAGTTCCTCTTAACGTACATTCTGTTTCACTTAAAGGCCCAAATTAAATATAGTAAGGGCCTGTTTACATGGAGGTGGGGGATCCCAGGTAGGTGAGGTAACCCGCTTAGATGTGGTAACCCACCTGACCATGTAATCTCTCATTTTAATTTAATTACGTTTATATGATAGGTGGGGTGACCCGCCAAGGTGGGTAACCCGGTCTCCCAGACTGAGTAACCCTTTCAGCCGGGGTCAAATTTTGCCATGTAAACGTTTCAAGGTGGGGTAAAATTGCATGTAAACGATAGTTATTTTTTTTACCACACCTAAGCGTGTTACCATGTAAATAGGCCCTAAGAAACTGCTGATTGCAGAAATTTTTCCCATGATAAAATAATCACAAGTGTATTTATCTATGTGTAACCAAGCATTTAAAAACCTAATTAAGAACCTACTTAGACTACTATTGTCAATACTGACTACTCAAAAATACAAGAACCTATTTTGCCAAACTTAAAAAAAAAATGTAAGTTCTTAAACGCAGGGTTTGACTGTTTCTCTTGTCGAATATCGGGACAAAGACCCTACTTTATTCAAGTATCGAGGAGTAATCATAGGAGACTAATTTGCGTCTCTGCCAGCCGACACCTCAATATATATAATTGTTGGTTAACAAACCTTGAAATTCAAAACTATTACAGTGCTTCCACCTCGCGGGACTGAGTTACGAACAAAACAATCGACAAAGAAGACAATATATCAGAGATTTGCAGAAGGGGCTTTTTCCCTTTCACGCTTGGTATGGCTGGGTATGGAGCTAGCGAGAAAATCTGTAAAAAACAGGATAGTTAGAAAACATTCCAACGTACATAAATTGCTCGAGCAATATAAGTTTGCAATAGCATATAATTTCAGTATTGCTTTAGGCAACGGATATACCATATCTACAGTCAAGGTCGAGCAATTTAAATAGTAGTAGATAAGTTTTTAAGTACAGAATATAATAAGATGAAGAAAACAGAAACTTCGTTGATATACTGAAGTCTTTTCAAAGTTGGCGACTCAGTAAAGTAATTAACTGTGAGAATTACTCATATTGAAAGCCGAAAAGAGGAAAAAGTATTATACTTACAGGTGTGCCATTTTACCATCAACTTTTATTGTTTAAAGGAGCGGATGTCATTTCCACGGTCGATCGAATGTTTTTAAGATGACTGGCCTTAAGGAGTCGAGACGTTAGCATGGACCAAGCGTGACAGAGTATTAACGGGTTTATTGCGAGCTTTACGTCTAGCTTCGGTTAGTGAAAGATTTATTCTACCAGGAAATTAAAAAAAAAGAAAATAAGAAAAAAGGAAAACGAAAAGGTCATCCTTGAAAACTTTTCAGTAAGAGCAATTCGTATCTCTCTTTGTAAATCCATTTTATTGATCGGCTTTTGCCGCGACTTATGAATCAGCTGTAATAGTTGATTTTACGTTCTCTTTGACATGATGTGTATGTCACTGGACATGATTTGTATATCAAAAAGAGCGATCAATTTTCATCCATCAATATCAATGAGAGCAAATGGAATCACATCTCACTATAGTGGACAAACTCGAACTGTGACTTCGTCGACGAAAAAGCTAACCCTTTTTGATCGAATTATTTTAATGTATGTTTAAACTTGGTATAAACTTCATATAGTGTAAAATAATTATAATTTACTTTTACCGATTTCACTTGTAACAATGATAATAATAATAACAATAATAATAATAATGATAATAAGATCTGCATGCTGGGATCTGCGCGAATCCTCAGAAAGGTGCTCAGTGTATGAACAGAATGATTGACTTGAGTGACTGCAGACGCTCTAAGTGCATGGTTTGCGCCCGGCTGATGCACAAAACGAACACCAGCAAAGACTGTGATAATAGAGACAATAATAATAATAAAAAATAATAATAATAATAAAAAATAATAATAATAATAATAATAATAATAATAATAATAATAACAACAACAATTCGGCCTCGGCCTTGCGTTATCTAAGAGAAAACAATGGACGAACAATTAACAATTAACGTCACCATAGAGGGCCTCAAGCACGTAGGCGCGGCTCTAGGATCCAGAACGTTTCTTGAAGAATATGATGGCGAGAGAGTAGACGAATGGGTCAATGAAGTTACTAAACGCGCAGATTTCGCCTAAAGCCTGCTATGCAGCCTTCACTTTTGGTCTGCGGCACCGCTGGACGTATTTCCTAAGAACATTACAGGATTTTGCAGAATTACTTGAGCCACTCGAGCGAGCAATGAGGTTCTCATACCAGCCATCACTGACCATACCGTCACTAAAGCAGAGCGCCACCTCCTTGTTTTTCCTGTGCGCATGGGAGGCCTTGGGTTTACAGATCCTGTAGTGACCTCATCTTCTGAATACGAGGCTTCAATCAAAGTTACTAATCCGCTCGTGAGGCGAATTGTTGAGCAAGAGCACCAGTCTCCAGATGCCTCAGAAATTCAAACACTGAGCACACGAAAACAAAAAGATGACTGTCTAAGTGAGAGGCTGGAACAAGTGAAGCACTCCCTGCTGACAAAAGCTAAGCGAGCTGTTGAGTTAGCTACAGAGAAGGGATCATCAAATTGGCTGACCGTGATTCCCCTCAAAGAGTTGGATTACAATCTAAATAAGAAGGAATTTAGAGGTGCAATCAAGCTACGGTACGTCTGGCAAATAACGGACACGCCCATGCTCTGCGCATGCGGTGTTCAATTTAGCGTGGATCCCGCAATGGTGTGTCAGCGAGGCGGTTTCATTATTCAGCGCCACAATGAACTGCGCGACTTGGAAGCGGAGATGCTAAGGATGGTCTGTAATGATGTGGAAGTAGAGCCGGTCCTTCAGGAGATTACTGGGGAGACAGTAAATCATGGCGCTAACAAAGCCCCTGATGCCCGTTTGGATATTTATGCTCGAGGTTTTTGGGAGAGACAGAGAT